TAGAAGGGGCAGGGGATTCCGGTCGCAATGCTAGTGCTTTCTTAGAATGGGTGTGGTCTGGGAGGGATGCGAAGAATAAGGATGCTACGATGTATGATCCTCCGTTGCTGACCTAACGTGCTTGTTTCGTAGGAAACTAAGCTAGCTCTAGTAGATATACCTTTCTTGAGAACTTTATGGGGCAGTGGCCCTTTAGACTATGCTGTCTCTCCCTCTCTTGGCCTCTCCGGAGGTCTTTCTCTTTGGGACCCTTTATTTTATTGGGGTATATTTTGGATTTGAACTTTCGATGTATTTCTGTTAATTTCTCTGGTCCTGATGGTTTGGTTTGATGTTTATCTAATGTTTATGGGCCAAATGTGCTTGGGGAGAAAGAGGATTTCCTGAACTCCCTCTTGAGCATTATCTTAAGGACTGGAGTCCCTTGGTGAAGTGCAGGGGACTTTAATATGGTCTAAGAACCACATGAGGTGCTTACTCCTTCCGTGATCTATCTGACTATGGCCCTCTTTGATGATTTTATTTCTATTCATGATTTGCTAGATTAGGATATTGTGGGGACCAGATTCACTTGATCAAACAACTCGGCCTCTGATATGAAAACCTTCAAGTTGGATCATTTTCTGGTCTTTGATATTTGGGATGAGCTTTTCCCTAAATCTGTGGTTCAAGCGCTGCCTCAATTTGCTTCTGACCATGTGCTGATTGTTTTTTTATTCTAAGGGGGTTATCTTTGAACCCCCTCTTTTTCTTTTTGAACTGATGTAGTTGTAGGATAAGTCTCTAGCAAATGTTGTGAAAACCTCTTGGGCTACTGCCGGGTTTTGTTATGTCAAATACTTAAGTTCTTGATAAAAAAATCTTAAGCTCTAGGGTAGAACCAAATTTCGCAACATTGTTGAGAATATTGGTAAGTTGGAACGAGATATCTCCAACTTTAACTCTTTAGAGCAATTGAATGATAGTCTCTCTCAGGATCTGATGGTTGAGAGAATATCTAAAAAACAAGATCTGGATGCCTTCCTTAGACTAGAGGAAATCTTATGGTCCTAAAGGTCTAGATCCAAATGGGTTAAGGAGGGAGATAATAATACTAAATACTTCCATAGTATTGCCATCTCTTGGAAATGATCCAACTGCTTGATGGGTTTTTCCATCCAGGGTACTGATATGGAAAATCCTTTGGCTGTCAGTGATGTAATTGTTAATCATTTTAATATGGCATTTTCTTTGGAGCCCAGGCTTTCTTTTGACATTGGGGATGTGCCTTTTAAGGCATTGTCCCCGAATTTGGCTATGGCTTGAGTGTCAGTTTACCACTGAGGAAGTCTGAAAGATAGGTTTTGGCTTGCCTAGGGACAAGGCCCCTGACCTTGATGGATTCCCTTTGGCTTTCTTTCAAGACTTTTGAGACGTCGTTCAGGCTAATATTTTACGTTGGCTTAACCAATTTTATAATGATGAGATATTCTGCTATGCTATCAACTCGACTTTCATTTCTCTGATCCTTAAAAAGAGTTCTATTGCTTCTCTTAAAGATATCCGACCAATTAGCCTCGTATCGGGCTTGTATAAGATCTTAACTAAAGTGTTGGCTAACCGTCTTTGCTTGATTATCAATGAGGTGGTAGAGGGCCCTCAAACAACATTCATTAAAGACCGTTTCATTGTAGATGGTATTCTGCTTGCCCAAGGGACCATGCATTCCACTGACCTTTTGGGTTTGAGCGGTCTGCTGTTTAAGATTGATTTTGAAAAAGTATATGACAGGGTGGAGTGGGATTATCTCGACAAGATTATGACCCTTACGGGCTTTGGATAGAAATGGAGAAAGTGGATTATGGGGTGTTTGTCCTCTGCCTATTTTTCAGTCTTGATTAATGGGAAAGCTAATGGTTACTTCCGTGCCACTAGAGCCTTGAGATAGGGGGACCCTTTATCCCTTTTGCTTTTCGCCCTTGTGGCTGAAGCCTTCAGTAAAATGTTACAAGGCCTGGTGGACACAAACATGATTAGGGGTTTGCCAGCTTAGCCTAACGGTCTGATGATTAGCCATTTGCAATATACTGATGATACTCTGATCCTCTTGGAGGGGACTGATATTAAGGTCCATAATATTTGGTTATTCCTTAAGTTGTATAAATTAATCTCAAGGGCCTGTATCAATCTTGATAAATCCAAACTTTTGGGTATTAATTGTTCTACCTCGAAAGTTCAAAATTGCACTGCTTGGCATGAATGTGAGGTGGAATACTTTCCCACGAAGTATTTGAGATTGCCTCTCCTTAATGGCAGTGCACCTAGATCCCTTTGGGATCCCCTCATTCAGAGGGCACAAGTGAATTGGATGGCTGGAAGGTTCGCTACCTATTCTTTGTTGACAAAACGACTCTGATTAATGCTACTATCTCTAATATTCCTATTTATTATTTATCCATCTTTTAAGCACCAACGACATTTATTGCTAAGATCGAAACCTTAATGCACAACTTTCTTTGGAGTGGATCCTAAAACAAAAAGAAGTTCCACTTGGTCAAATGGGACTCTGTGTGCCAACCAAAAGAAGTGGGAGGTTTGGGCATTCATCGACTCAGGGCATTCATCGACTCAAGGCAGTCAACGACTTCGTGTTGACTAAGTGGTGGTAGAGGTTGTCCCTCATGGTGACCAAGTATGGACCAAGGTGATCCTTGGCATGTATGGATAAGACCCCGATGGCCTTTATGCGAAGAGAAGGCCTAGATCTGGGAATCTTTTGATGGTATGGCAAGGCATCAAAGGGGTTAGACATCTCTTTCTAGCTTATAGGATGCTTGTCGGAGATGGTCGTAGCACTAGATTTTGGAGTGCTAAGTGGCTTCGAGATTTCCCTCTCAAACTTCTTAACCCAAACCTAAACAAAAATGCCAATAAGAAAAGATCTATTGTTGCTGATTTGATCTCTATAGTAGATGGTAAACCAATATGGAATGCTACCCTCTCCATCAGAAGGGTGGACCATCAAGCTGAATTCCAATATGTGGCCTTGATGTAAGATGTTTATAGCTTCTGTTTCAATCCTTGGAAGAGAAACATATTGATATGGTGCCTTGAGCCTACTAGTACTTTCTCCGCTAAATCCCTGTATAAAGAAATTTAGAGGGATAGGTATTTTGAAGACAAAAAACATATTGTTAAGTTCTGGAAGTGCAAGGGGCTTCTTAGGGTTAGGTTTCTCCTTTGGCTTTTTGCATATAGAAGACTGCTTATTGTAGACCAACTTCGAAGACGAGGTATGATAATCACCAATGTATGCTTGTTATGTAAGGAAGATGAGGAAACAATCGATCATATCTTCCTCATGTGTAAGTATGTTACTGCAATCTGGGATTGGATCGAACGTCTGGCTGGTTGGCATGGCCCATAGTCCCAGAATGCCCACACTTTTCTTCAACAGGTGTGAAATTCTCCTTTTATTTCTCTTTGGCCGAAATCTATGGAGGATCATGATTGCTACCTCCCTTTGGACCCTATGGAAAGAGAGAAACCTCGAAATTTTTGAAGGCCGATCTAGAGATATTCTGACCTTACTCTCTGTTATATATAGCATTGCTATCATGTGGGCATATGCGTCTCTCCCTCTTATGGCTGTACCCAACCTCCTTCTCTTCTCATGTTTCAAAGATCTACTCTATCTTGAAAGTCAACGGCCAGCACTTTGACTTGTTTGAACTAAGCCACCGGAAGGTTGGTTTAAGTTGAAATTTGATGGAAGTGTAAGGGGTACTCAGTTTGGTTATGATGGCCTTCTTCGTGATCACAACAGTACCTTTATCTGGTTCTTCTCAGGTAGTCTCCATTATTGTGAGATTAATGAAGTTGAACTCTTGGCAATTAAAATGGGTGTTTCTCGTCTTGCTCATTCCCACAGGAAGGTTATTATTGAAGGAGATGCGGCCAACATAATTTTATGGTGCACCTAGCCTTCATAGATTCCCTGGAGGCTGAGTATGGTCATGGATGAAATCCTCTTGGCGTTAAGGGATCGGGAACGGTTCTTTATCCATATTTTTCGAGGTGCCAATTTAGAAGCTAACCTTTTGGCAAAATAGGCTACTGCCCCATGATTTTGTTTTGTGTGGCTCTTTGTGTGGCTCTACGCCTTTCTTTTTGACACTTTCAGATCTGGGTTCTCTTCCTTGTATCCTTTTTTTTTTTTATTTCTTTCTTCTTGTAACCTTTATTATCTTAATGAATATCGTCTTCTCTCAAAAAAAAAAAAAAACAAAAATCCAATAAGAAACTAAAAGTCCTTCACATGTTTGTTGTAGGAATTCAAGGACATTTATTACAAGAGGCATATTCTTCATATTTTGTTGGTTATTGTCCTTATATTGAAGGTTATATTAACGTACGTTAATTAAAGTACGTTAATGTGTGGTCCTCTATAGTGTTAATGTTAATCGTTTAATGATTAGTTTCTTTGCCTTCAAAAAGTCATATGACTCACCTTATCTCAGTCACCATCCACTTTACGGGCTATCGATACGATACGTAGAGTTGCTATATTTTAATGAATGAGCTTTTTATGTATCTACCAATATAGGTACGATTTTTGTAAGGAATCAATATTAATCAATCAAAGTAAGGCGTACTTCCCAATTATACTACAAGAAGTAGTTCTGAGGCCGAAAGCTTTGCAATGGTAGAAAAATATATTTTCACATCTAATTATTAAATTTAAAGCTTATGAGTAGATCTATAAACACTTACAAATCTTGAAAATAGATGGTCCAGATAATGTTTAACTAATGCACTATCTTTAGGACTTGAAATTCTTCCCATTTGTTTCCCCATGTATGTACATTTCAAGGTCGATATGATCAATTAGAAAGTTTTCTACATCAAATGACTTTGGGTCAGTTTTTAAGGTGCACCTTACTTTACTTCTATATTGTATGGCTGATCCTTATATAAACTCTTTCTATAAATTATACACATGTAGATATATCTCATTGTCAAAGCAAAAACAATATGACAATATTACTCAAGATGTTTCCCGGTCTAATGACACTAAAATTCCCATTGCATAGTGGAACACTAGAATGATGGCAAGGAAAAATGTTGGTAGAATTGGGGCTTGACATCTTAGCATAGTATTTACGTCACAGAGCTACCTAAGAATCAAAACCCAACTTAATCATTCGAAAAGGAAAAATTAATTACACATGATAAGAATTTAGGAGCACAGGGCTACTCTTAAGCATGAACCCATGTATCTCCCTCCCAATTAAGAGCTACAAAGTCTCCTTACTTTTTGAATTGTTCTCCGACAAATGGGGCAAGATTTGCTCTCTCCTGACTCTATCCTGCAAAGCCAAGACATCATATTCAAAATTTTGGAAAATAATTAATAGTCAATGAAGGGCATTTCAATAATTTCATCCTCAAGAATTACCCACTGAATAACTAAAAGGAAAATACAAAATAAGACCATTTACTTTTGATACAAGATGGTCACAATAATTTTGACCATTGGATATTAAATTGGGTGGCTATAATTATTCCATTGACCAAACTCAAATTTCAAAAGAAATTTTATCGAACTTTGTGACACATCCAAGCTATCAAATTTCACATCAAATGGTTATAAGTTGTGAGCACTTTTGTATCAAAGGTAAATGGACTTATTGTATACAATCCTATAACTTAAATAGCACTACTTATTCAAGGTGATAAATAAAAAACACATTGTCTAGAGTCAATAATAAATAACAACTGGGGGTACTTTTATCTTCGAGCACTCAAATGCCTTGCATATCTCCAAATGACATGGATACCCTTAATAGTTCCTCATTGAAACCCAAACTAATATGCTCCTTATTTAGAACTTTGATTAATGAAATGCCCTGAATGTTGAAGATTTCCAAACTTGAATAAAGGCAATTTGAGAAGTTTTTAAGATTCATTATTTAGGGGACACCCAATTGAAATGAAATGAAAAAGAAACCATTCAAATGATAAATAGAATCATTTGAACCTTCTTGATGATTTTTTTGAGTATTTCAACCCCTCAAATGACATCTTCTCATATTTTAGGCATGAAAGTGTATGCAAGCCCAAAAATATGAATCTCTCTCCTATAGGTCCCCTATCTCCCATTTTCCGAACCTGAGAATGGAGTTGGGGCCTCAGTGGTTGAAGGGCTGATACTTCAACATAACGTCGCATCCTTTATTCCCACCATTAGCATATACATATAAAAAAAAAGCAATGAAAATAGTTTAATAAAACCTTCAAATAGTTGGGGTTGCAAGGGTGATACCTCTGAGCACAAGTGTAACAAGTAGCACAATGTCCACATGGAACAAAGAAAGAGTTGCGGATGTTGTCATAACATATGACACAAATCTTGGCATCATACAAATCTTGGCATGAGTTGATGGCAGCAGAATCAGAGCACTCATCAGCTGTCCCATAGAGAGTAAGTATGCTATGTTGCTTTGTATCATCATTTAACAATGCCTGGTTCTCTGCCCCCACCACAACTTCTTCCTCTTCTCTACCTCCAAAACATTTCATCACTATGTACACCACAACTATAATAATGGCTGCTCAAGATAGAGAACAAAGGAGAAATGAGATATCAATGATTTGCATAAAACTGAGAGGGATCAGATTCGATAGTGAGTACCTAAGATCACACAGTAAGAAGCCACACGAGCCATGTATGAAAGCTCTACATTCCAAGTTGTTGTGCCCCCCTGTCATTTTTTTATTTATTTTTGACAAATATCAAGAACTTTTATTGAATAACTGCTTGGAAAGCATCGGTTACATAGCTGGAATTAAAGCATTAAAAAAAAAAAAAGTGGGCAAGGATACACCAGCTAATCTATCGCAGAGTCATTAGCTTCTCGATAGACATGGGAGAATGAAACATGGAGCAAAGATGAAGAGCTAATATCCATAATTTTTACCGGAAATCTATAAAGCCTATCAAATATTTTTAAATCACATTCAGGACTCAACAAATTAGATGGGATGAAGGTAACTAATAAACAACGTTTAGGCACTAGCCTCGGCCAAGAAACCGAGGTGAGTTACTTGGTTGAGTCCTGTATAGGCTAAAAATCCTATGAAAAATAAACAACCGAAATAGTAGTAATAAAATCCTATGAAAAATAAAAAACCGAAATTGTAGTAAAGTTAAAATAAAACCAAAAGAAACATTAAAAAGTCCAAATAAGCTTTAAAAAGTACAAAAAAGATATTTAAAAAATTGATTTATAACAGGGATATTTTAAAAAAAATTCAAAAAAGGAAATATAAAAATAGGAGTCATGGCAAAAAAAAAATCACCAATTTTTGTCAAAAACATTCAAATCATTTATCATTGTTCGTAAAACCAGCTGATCCAAACCGGAATAGGCCGGTTAGATCGGTACCGGCAAGGTACCGATTCCGGTTAAAGCCGGTTTCTCAGTAGACGCTCATCTTCAAAAACCAAAGGTCCAAAACCCGGCCGGTTTGATGTCAAACCGGCGATATTTTCTAAAAACCGGCCGGTTTTCATCCTACCGGACCGGTTCGTCGTTATAACAGCGTTTTAGGGTAAATAACAATAACTTATAAATAACAGCGTTATTTTAAAATTCAAACCGTTATTTGTAGAAGGAAAACTGTGAATCCAAATTTCACCATTTTTTATTCGGTTTGTAGCAATATTTTGGTTTTTTTAGTGTTTTAATGGTTTAAATCACTATATAATGAGTCTAAAACAATAAATTTGGATTTAAACATTGAAAAAAACGACTTTCTTGGATTGAAATGACAGATTTTTTAGGTTTTTGAAAACTTCCGCCATTCTTTCAATAATCTCCTCAATACCTGATGATTCTTCAAGAAGGAGGAGGGGTTTGATTGCTATTCGAAGTATTTACTAGATTCAACTTTAATTTAATCATAAAACAAAAAAATAAAGGGTTTATTTTAGCCCGAATGGTTGCTGCTCATGGTTGCTGCTCCAAGAACCTGTCTTCTATCCAAAAAAGAGGATTTTTTGTCCATTTATTGGTTTTTTTTTTTATCAAATTAAGATGTGTATTTCAATAATTGAGGCTTTATAGCTCAAATAAAATTACTATGTTTATTTATTATTGAGTAATTTTTTTATATCAATTTTTTCATTGCATCATATAACGAAAATTTCATAGATCTCGAATTTCCGTATTTTCTTCAATTAAATAAAAAATAGAGAATATTTTTTGATGATATTGGGTGTGTTTGAAAGATGATGGAAGCCTTTATAATGCATCTATGTTTATTTTTTCGATTATCCAAACATTGAGGGCTCGGAATGTTGCTTCATTTTTTGGGTTTTTGAAAAGTGGATTTTTCTAAAAAAAATATTTTGTTGAAGAAAATTATGTTTTTTGATAAAATTGAGAAGTGTTTTTCTATTTTTCTTAATAAATTATTTTTAATAGAATTATGATTTTTTAATGAAATTACATTTTTTTTGATGAATATGGGAAGTGTTTTTCTATTTTGCTTAATAAAATTAATTCTTTAATAAAATTATTTTTTGATGAAATTGATTCTTCTTTTTGATAAGTGCATGATAATGTCGCTCGATTTTTTAGTTATCTTTTTTTTTTTAAGTTGACATATTTATATTTATAATTATGGAAATGGGATATTTTGTTTTTTAAAGTGCATGTAAAAATTATGGTTGCCTTATGTTCAATGAAACACTACACCGTCTTGTATGTGCTTTGAAATTCTCATTTTCTTTATTTATTTATTTTGTTCATTCTCTATCAAGTTTTTGGAATGTTATGGAAATAGCCTCTAAAAGATCAACCATTTTTTAAAAAATCGGCCGACTAACTCGGGATCAGTCACTGGCCGATTCTGATTTGGCCCGATTCCAGAGAAAGAGAGTTATACAAAGATCTTAATTCAAATCATCCCTCATTTGAGAAATTGATAACAGAAAAATTTCATTTTGCTTAGTATAATTATAAATACTTTTTGTCAATGGGAAGTTTTTTCTATATTATATGACAAAAATATCTTCAAAAAAAATATCCTAAGCTATTTTCAGGCACAGGACCATAGTATTCAAATATTACTTTATAAAAAGTTGTTTCAATATTTTTTTTATAAAATAAATATATATAATAAGATATTATACATTTAGTCTAAGTATTTTTAGTTTTTTTTGTTATTTTTTTGGGAGTTTTTGACCCATTTTTTTTTAAAAAATCTACTTAATCGGTTAGTCCGGTTAACCGTCCCAGTTAGTATGAATCCGGTTCAAACGGCTCCAAGCCCCACGTCCGGTTAACCATTCCGGTTTGATTTTGCGAACAGTGTCATTTATAAAAAAATTTATATTAAAATTCTTATATTTCTTATAATTTTTGAATTATTTTAAACAAATTTATATACCCCGAGTTGTGCGTACAACTCGGGTAACTCAGCCTTGCTTACTAGCCCTTGCCAGAGTTGACTAGGGCAACTCCTCACTTTGGTCAACCAAAATATCCACTTGGAAGGAGTTTACATTTTCAGGAGTGTTTTGAAAAACCAGTTTTACAAGACTCGTCCTCCCCTTATTGGCGTGGCGCGTTTGCGGCTAGAAGGGTCCCCAGAGCATAAACATCCTAGAAAATATAAAAGAAATGTTAAAACAAAAAAATTAGAACCACTAATATATTGGTTAGAAATATTTTTTGGATGATTTTAATAATTTTTAAGAAGATTTTGGGAACTCTTATATTTAATATTCAAGGTATAAATCAAAATTTTCAGTATCTATCTATAGCATTTTTTTCATCTTTAGTCTTTTAATGACTTCTATTAACTTTTTCAACTTTTTCTTGATTTTTATACTCACGCCAAGTTATTTGTCTCAATAAAGGCCGAGTAATTTGGTCAAGGCGATTTTAAAAACACTGTAACGGATCGGTGCAACCTAGAGATTGATTTTTTTCGACCAGTCAAAATTAAGAATATAAATGTAAAAATAAATAATTAAATAAGTAAAATAAAAAATTAAAAACCACGAAAACCATGAGATTCCGGGTTTCCCTAGAGCAAGGTCCCTACAAGCGGTTCTGTTCAATCTATGTGATCGATTTCTATTGAGCCAGAAATTTGTAAGCTACTCGTTGTTACTATTACCCGGTAAATGACTAAAATTTATTTACTTTTGGCCATGGGTGGTTAGGAGGGGGAGCCTCAACATAACGTCCTGTCCTTCATTCCCACCATTAAAAAAAAAAAAAAAAAGGCAAAAAAAAAAACAAAAACAAACATATGTATCACTTTGTTTTATAATATGTACAGTTTAATAATAAATTTGTCCCTTAGTCCAATACTAAAAATACGGACTAGCCTGATATTTTTTTTTTTTGAGGATCCACAAGGCTCTCGGGATTGTGGGCAAGGGATATGTAGGGTGGGCTCAAAAGTTTTTGTGAAAGAAGCGGTCTGGGGTTATGAATCTAGGACCGCTTATTCTATTTCAACCTTGGAAAGGTTATTCTACCTATATTGAGAGGCGTCCGAGGTTTGAAACATTAGACTGTCTACGACCCCAACAAAATAAAAAAAGGAGGATAAATAACAAACTTCACAATCATGTAGAGATACAAATGTTATATGAAGCGTACCATAACGTTAAATGAACGAAAGAAAATAAAACAGGGGGGAAGGACGGAGGGGGGAGGGGGGGAAAGAATACCGCAGAACTCTTACTAGTGCGTCAACTATGCATTCCCCATAGCAAACGTAAGAGATTCATTGACCATATTCCCACAACGATTGACATGTATCCTTGTCTCCACATTCGACCGTTTCTTGATGGACGGTGGATATGCCATCCACATTATGCAATCAAGTTATTGCATACTCTCTTTACAGTTGAGGCGGCCCAGACCTAAAAAATTAGGGCCTAGGCCACAAACTGCGGCCTGAGGGCCGCACTAGGGCTAGTGTCGGCCCACTTTTTTTTCGTAGTTTTTCTTTAATTTGTCCTTCATTTGTTTTTGGTTTGGCCCACCTCTAACAGGGCCAGGGCTAAGCCTGGGTTTGGGCCGGCCCTATAAGGGACAACAGCTTCTCCAGAGCAGCGCAAAGGCCTTGGCCCGGGCCATTGCTGTCCTAACCCATCATGAACCGTGAAGTGCCATATGAGTTTAGAAGGAAAATCCTGAGCTTAATTGGTTGACGCTTAATGATTTTCAGCGTTATGTCCTAGGTTCAATTCCTACCAGGTAGGGGCCTCTCCCCGCTGACTCACCTAAAAAAAAATGAAAAATCTCCCGTACCAAGCCAAAGACCGAAAAATTATGTTTGGTTATGCAGGTAATATGAATAAGGTTGAGGATATGGACTCACCATTGGATTGGTGGGTGTAGTCACAACTGCATAGCGCTTGCTAGAGAAAAGAAGCTCAAGAGAACAAGGGCCATTGTCCATTGAACAGTTGCAGAGGGCCTTGCTTGTGTCATAGACCTTCGACGAAATATTTGCCGCCAAGGAAACTCGAAGGCTTCTTGACCCAAGATTCACTATTTCCAAGTAGTAGCTTGCATTTTCTTCTACAGTGTATTCCGCTTTTCCAGTACCTCAATTCATGGAAAATCGCATAGAAGGTCTGTTATTTCCATTGCATATTCACCACTTCCAATTCATTGAGAAATGCAAATGAATTCTGTTATTTTACTGCCAAATACACCACTCCTAAAACTTCACAGCTTCAATTCATGGAAAACTTACTTTTGAATTCCATTGTTCTCACTTCCCATTAAGTTCCTGTAGCTCAATTTTGTGTTGTTTCACTTTCAAGTGGCCATTAAACAAGCATTTGAAATTAGATAAAGTGAGATTTAGTAGTACCAAGAGCTTGTTGCCATGACTCCATAATAGATGCATTCTTTGGATCCCTCAGCCACCTTCTGAAATTCTGATCCCCTGTAAAATACAATCTAGAACAATCGAGTCTGCTATCAAGTAAATCTCAGCCCTTCATCTGAGTACCCAATATCAAGAGATTGCACATACCTTTGAGAATAACAACCAAGAGGTCCTTCTGAAAACCACTTGCTCCCACCTTCCATCTGCACACAATTCTTGATCCCTTGTTCAGCCAAACAGATATCCCCTGCAAAAGTGTGCAGCAGATCTTTTGTGAAAGTCCAATTTGGAGAGAGAGAGAGAGAGAAGGAGAGAGAGAGAGAGGAGGAGAGAGAGAGGAGAGAGAGGAGGAGAGAGAGAGAGAGTACTACGTCGTCGTACGTTAGTAAGATACAACAACAGTACTTGTTTGTGTAGTCGTACTAGTAGTACTCTACGAGTCGTACTAACGTAAGGTCGGGTACTTAAACAA